TGTTCTCTTGTTTGTAAATATCATCCCTTAAATGTTCAAATTGTTGTAAATATGGTCCTTTGGGGGTGAAATGTACAATGTGGGTGAGAAGTACATTTCTCTCCTCAATTTAAATATGGTGAATATTTAAGGGACTAAAAGCGTGATTTTTCTTTAATTTAGTTTAATTTAATTTAATTATTGAGTGATTGATAAATAATGTTCCCTGTCCTGACTTTATTGAGAGTGTATGTTATACATCCGGCAGTACGATGCTCACTGTACGGCCGGCCCAACAAGGAAAGTAACAGGCCCAAGGAAAAAATAGCAAAATAATTTGGTGACATTTTTGTAATTAATGTGAAAATCGTGGTTTGTGCTAAATGAGCATTAGTGTACTATTAATGAGCAATAGTCCAATTTTAATGAGCACCGTGTTAGTACAAGAAAGATGATATCACAACTAAAGAACGGTGTCATTTTCGTAATATCAGTGAAAATCACAGTTTTCGTTTGATGAACATTAATACACTTTTAATGAGAATCAGACGTATTTTATTGAGCATTAAAAGTTGAATAATCAATATTGTGATATCAATTTCATATATTGTAATTCACTTTTTTTTTCTTGAGTATTTTTTATTTTATAAAAACTCATTAAATTAATCTATAATCAATTCCTATGAATTTCAATATGCGAATCTAATGTAATATGGTACTTTAATTTTGAAATATGCATTGTTATGACATCTTAAAAGTGAGCATAACATGAGTACCAATTGAGCATACGTAACTTACAAAATGAGCACAAATATGAAAATCATAAGGTTTGTTAGTTGGATGTCACGACATTTTCATTGAGCATCAAACCACGTATATTGAGATGAAAATAACATTTTCTGTTAAATGAGCATTAATGAACTTTTAATTAGCACTAGACCTATTATATTGAGTATTAGGAGTCTAATATTGAGCATCGTAATCTCTGCTTCATATCTTTTAGTTCACTTTCTTTTTATATTTTTTCTATTACAGAAACTCATTAAATTATATCTATAATCAATCCCTATGAAGTTCAATATGTGAATCTAATGTAATATGATACTTTTGAAATATGCATTTATATGACATTTTAAAAATGAACATAACATCAGTATCGATTGAGCATATGTAGCTTACAAAATAAGCATTAATATGAAAATACTCCCTCCGTCCTAAAATTATTGCCCCGTTTTCCTTTTCGGTCCGTCCCGAAATAATTGTCCCGTTTCTAAAACTTCCTTATTTGGTAAACAAATCTATACCAAACAATGTCAAACAGTGCAAAATAGTGCAAAACAGTGTCACTACAGTGCCAAACAGTGTCGCTACAGTGCCAAACAGTGTCGCTACAGTGCTAGCGCTATTTTCTTAATCTGTGTGAAAAACCAAATGAGACAATAATTTTGGGACGGAGGGAGTAATAAACTTTGTTAGTTGATCATCAAGACATTTTTCATTGAACATTAAACCTCCTCTATTGAGTATTAGAAGCGTGCAATTGAGTACCGATTGAGCATTCGTAAATTATAAAATGAGCATTAGTATGACAATCATAAGTTTTATTTAGTTGAGCGAGAATCAAAACGTTTTCATTGAGTATCAAATGTCCTCTATTGAGTATTAAAAAGATTTTTTACCATTTTTGGTCCTAGACTATAGTGTCATTGACACTTTTGGTACTCAACTTTTAATATTTCCACTTTTAGCCCTCAACAATTGTGTTAGGGTCACTTTTGGTCCTCGACTTCAAAGTTTCCCACATTTGGTGCCCTGAATATTATCAAATTGACACTTTTAGTCCTTCTACTATGATTTTGACACAATAAGTGGAGGACAACAATGCCATTATTACAATAGTTGAAGGACAAAAAATGTCACTTTTAATTATGAAAGTCGGAGGACTAAATATGGAAATTTTCAAAGACGGGTACCAAAAGTGTCTCTAGCGCAATAGTCGAGCACTAAAAGTGGAAAAAGTCAAAGTCGAGTATCAAAAGTGTCAATGACGTAATAATCGGAGGACTAAAAGTGGCAAAAACTCGTATTAAAAATATGCAATTGAATATCATGGTCCGTTCTCTCGTATCTGTAATTAACTCCTACTTGAATCTAATATAATATGTTAATTTTGAAATATGCATCGGTATAACATTTTAATTTGAGCATAACATCAATACCAAATGAACATATATAACTTACCAAATGAACAATGATATGAAAATCATAAGCTTTGTTAGTTGAGCATCAAGACATTTTCATTGAACATCAAATTTCCTCTATTGAGTATCTCGCATTGTGAATTGAGAATCAAGACATTTTCAAAATGCGATTAATTAAATATCATGATCTCTACTCCCATGTTACAATCTACCTCTTATGCGAATCTAATATGTTACTTTTGAAATAAACATTAATATGACATTTTAAAATAATGAGCATAAAACTAGTACTCGATGAACATACATAAATTACAAGATGAGCATCGAAAAATTTAAAAACTCATTTGAATTCTCTAATGTGTTCAAATGTTTATTTGTGCACATATAATGATAAATATTAAAAATATAATCGGATTCTTTTATAATGTTTACTCATGCATATTTATTTTACACTATACACATTTTAGTATAACACAAAACTCATGTTAGTAATGAACACACGATATTCAATAAACTAATAAATGGTCATCTTAAAGTATAAATAGAAAAATAAAAAACTTAATACCTAAAATATTTTATAGTACATAAATTTAAAAAACTTAAGTTAGAAGTTTGATTGGATAAAGAAAAAATAAACTGGGACAACAACAACATCCAAACCTTAATCCCAAAAGATATTGAATCCAAAAAATAAACTGGGACGTTTAATAAAATTTTGTATAATTTTTTATATTATAAATTTTCATCATAATTGAATATAAAATTAAAATGAAAGGTTGTTAAAGAAAAAATCAAAAAAGGAAAGGAGTACAAACCATAAAAAAGAGGAACAAACAATAATAAAAAAAGGGAAAACAAAGCAGTAGAAACGATTGATTCAGAGTCTGGGACACAAATTCCAAATTGAAAGAGACCAACGAGCCTGGAGAGTGAGTGCATGCGTTCCGCGAAAAAAATGGAGGACGGAACACGATCACTCAACCTGACTTCTAACCTGAAAGTTGAAACAAATTACAAAAATGGCGGCTATCGGGCTATATCATAAGCATGGTAAACCAGCCCTACTTTATAATTTACCGGCTTTATTGCTTGCTTCTCGTCATCTCTTCCTAAAAGTAGTCCACTGGTGGGTATATCTCGTCAACTGGTAGCGAGTATGTGTCACAAGAGTTAGGTCCTTGATTTGAATCTCGTCAACTGCGATGAGAGATTACTATGCTAAAAATATGCATATGATCTCTGCAAGTATCGGGGACATAACTTCACTCTCTATCTGTCAGATTGGAATTATAATACAATTTATATCCTGCCAATATACCGTCCGATCGGGTTGTCGAACCATTGACATCTTTTCTTTTCCCTAAACCTAGCCCCTTGGCTCCGGGTCATTTTCACCCTTTGCATTTGTATCACTCCACGTTCTTTTTAGACCAAATCCGGGTACATTAATTGATACCTTATTTGACAGCCGAACGACCACATCATTATAATCTGTGGGGACACAAGCTCCGTAAATAGGATCCGGAAAATAGTTGTTTAAAATACTACTCGCTCTGATCCCTATTAAAGTTCCTAATTTGACTTCACACAAATTAAAATAAATTTAACTTTACTGTGTAGTGCACTGTTTGGCACTGTTTGGACACTATTTGACACTGTTTTGCACTGTTTTGTTTCCTACAATGGAAATGTGAACTTAAATAAAGGACATCCCAAAAAGGAAAGTGAGAACTTTAATACGGACCGGAGGGAGTAGCTCCTTCGAAAATATTTGTTATATTGATTTTTCTTGATTAATAATGGTAAATTTTGAATTATGATTTTAATTATTATATTTGTTCAAAATAACTTCGTATTAAAAGATATCATTGATCAAAGTTGATTATCATTGATAAATAAATGTCAATTTGATGAACCTTTCCGGGACGGAGAGAGTAACTTATAATCCAAAGATATTACGGGTTCAGAATGTTAAAAATTGACATTTTGACCCCTATGTTGTTGCATTGAAGGAAAAATTTGGAGGCTAACTGTGCAAAGTGTGAATGCAAACACACATCAAAATGTTATTTGTGTGTATTAATATCTGCATGCACATGAAATAATAATTGAATAATTAAGGAAACATCTAAAATTACTTGTAACCAAGCCCAACTTAAGCATTGTTTCCTTAAGACATTTTTTGCCCGACACACGTAGCAAGCGTCTCCCAGGATAGAACGGTTCTTCGCTCCCAACGGGATTCCACCGAACTCAAAGATGCAAGGAAGAGAGAATAAGGAGGATTGTGTGATGATTTTCGAATACTCAAAAATGAAGACAAGGCGGGTATTTATAGAGCTCCGGCCAGGAGTCTCTAACCCAAAAGGCACTTATTAAAAGAAAGTTCATGACCTTTCTTTTAAAACTAATGGTTGTGTCTTTTATTTGATTTTATCCGAAAAACAAATAAAATGTAGCAAAAAAAAATCTCTAGTCTTTAGCCATACGGATGTATCTGGTGAGACTCGAACCCGATCCGGCCCGGCCGACTGACGGCGCCGGTGTGTGCGTGTTAAAATATTTCACGCTTATCTTTTGGGGAACAATTTCTCATTCATTTCAAAATGAGTTTTTTCACAAATAATATTAGTAATATTAATTTGTAAAAACCATTTTTCCAATACAAAACTTGTTATGAACTTTCATATGACACCAATATTACATACTATTAATATAATTTCTTTCTGAAAATCTGAAGTTCTAATTGCGAGAGTTTTTTAGACAAAAAAACACTAAACTCAAATTTTTTATATCAGCTAGTTTGCCTGTAAAAGGATGTCGAGATTCGGGTAGTGGCAGACGTCCTCGCCAGGGGTACTGTTTAGCAACTTGAAAGCAGGATGGTTCAATTCGGTTGTACACTTGTACCCAAATTGAATGGGCATATTGCCATTGCACGAGTTTGATAACAGAGCTAGCCCAATACATTTAGGGAAATAGACCTAAATAGGACTAAAAGTATAGTTGGGAACGTAAATAGGAGTTCGAAGTTTTAAACCCCTAAATAGGACCAATTTTGAATGGTGAGACAAAAATACCCTTCCCTGTTCCCGACTAATTCTGCTCTGAACAGGACTCCATGCATCTGCTTTTGCAAGTCTGATAAATTTAACAAACGAAAAAGGAGTAGTCGCTGACGGCAGGCTACGTTCTAGATCTGCGATCCGCCGCTGGTTTCCGCCAGGTTATCTCCGCTGCAAGTCATCATCGGAGCAGAGTAGTCGCCGACGTGTATCGCCACCAGCTGGTTATCGCCGCGGCAATCCATTCTTCCCCTAGCCCTTCTAGCTTCTCCTCCCCCTTTCTCCCTCTCTTTCTCCCGTTCGCGAGATTCTTTCGTAAGCCTGTTATACGAAAGAATCTCTTCTTTCGTGAGCTCGTACATACGCACAATCCTTGCAATCCACTCTTTACTGAAAAAATAAAATTTATTCATAGTGTTAGTGCTGGTAGCACTGTAGCAGTCAGAATGGATTGGGCGCATCAAAGACGAGATTCTCCAGCACAGTTACAAGGGATTGTCCCCATTGTAGCACTCTAGCTTTTTTGTTGTTTTACGTTTCAATTTTTTATTTTTTTTATCTTATTTGCAAATTCATTTAGTGTAGGTAATATTCTGGATTCATTCATTAATTTCGAAAATCATATAAAATGACAATGAATTAATAAATGTTGTGACAATGACACTGTTATATATTGACAATGTCGATGCCAATGACAATGTTGTGACAATTCTAAAGGTATAAAAATGATATCAATTTTATGGGAAAAAATGTTGATGTCCAGACAATGTCATGACAATGTCTATATTGATGTCATTCTCAATATATTAACAATGTTAATGCTATAAATATGACATTATTAAAAACTATGTAAATGTCACAATATTTTAAGCATTGTAAAGAAAAAAATGTTACAATATCAAACATTGGAAAATCATAAAACCTACGTCTATATTGTTAGCTATTACAACTTTATCTAGCTTTTAAAAATTTGAGACTTCATAAACATGTTAAAATGGTGAAATAATAACACTATGTATGTCACTATACTTTAAATATTATCAAAATAAAGTGAAAATCATTAGTGATGGATAGTCTACCCGGGGGTATATATCCGAAGGGTTACTACGGGGAATAACTTAGAGAGAAGTCAGAGCAAGTAAATACAGAGAGAGAGTGTATTATAAATGTGGAGCGTTTTCAGCGTGGTTACAAATGAGGAAATGGGGTGCTATTTATAGCAGCAATAAATGCCGGGCAGGGACACGTGTCAAGCGCTCATTGGCCGAGGGGTCACCTCAACTGGTTGGCGCTGGCAGCCGCATGTGGCCGCATTTAATGCGGCTGTTGGATGGGACGTCTGTGCAGAGTACGGCGATCTGTACGCATGTGAGGCGGACATCTTGTCGAGTGAGATGCCTTCGGCTATAGAGCAGTAGCCGAGGGCTCTTCCTCCCGATGGCACCCCTGGTGCCGAGGGCTCACAGTGCCGAGGGCTGCTGTTTTCGCCGTTTTCTCCCAGTTTCTTAGTTTGCTTGAGAAACCCGTTCTGTGAGAATTTGGAGCCTTCGGCCAGGGGGCCGAAGGCACCCCTGTGCGTTGTGCGGACTGCTTGGTACTCCGGGCGCTGTGAATTGGGCCTGTTGGGCCCTTTGGGCCTGTTGGGCCTTTGCTGGAGTAGTAGGAGTCTGTGGGCCGGGGGTTCCCGGGCCATATACTCCATCAGGAGTCCCTCACTCCTTTTGCCGAAAGGTACTTGAGGAAAAAGGAGTAATTTGTGCTTGCCCTTTGATGTTGTCCCGTTGTGATCTCTGAAGTTGGTGAGGAGTTGTTGCTTTTATGTCCCTGCCGAAGGCAGTCCCTCAGTTACCCACATGTCGGGACTTGAGGGCTTGCTTTGTTGTTTGTTGGAATTTCACAGATTTTGTAATTTAATGATTTTCCCGAAGGGATCCTCCAGTCCTCCACTCCTTGAGGCACTTGTAAAGTGGTGAAAAGGAGTAAAGTAGTTACGTTGCTGTTGTGGGCCGAAGGCTGACGCTCTTCGTTTCATTTTGGGGGGATGCCTCGTTAAAAACCTGATTAGGAAAAACCCTTTGGGAAAAAATCCTAATGAGGGAAAAAGAGTGCACCGAATTCCCCCAATGATGAATCGAAAATGTCAAACCTTGGTAAAAAATGGAGAATGGCGGGAATGCCGAAGGCTTTCTCTTCTGAGGGCTCCTGTGTTGATTAGCCGAAGGCTGGCTGTTGATGTCCTGGTGGCGCCGAAGGGGAGCCCCTCGAGGCAGGGATCGAGGGCCTGCCAGATGAGGGCAGCAGTGAAGCTGTTACCGCGGGGTCCACTGTTTGTTGATGAAGTGGTGATGAAGATACCCGAGGGCTCCCATTACTGTGTGCCATGGGCCATCCGTCAATGGGGCACACCCCGGGGGCTACCCGGTTTTGCAGTGCTGAGGGGGAAACCCCGAGGGGTGCCCTGATATGCAGCCCTAGGGATCTGAAGGGGTGATCCCCGAAGGCGTGTGTAATGTGCTGTGTGGGCACGACCCGGGGGCACTTCTGGGTGAGTGCACCCGGAGGCTATCTTTGATGAAGTGGAGTGAAGTAGAAAACCCGGGGGCTTCCAAAATATAGCCGTTGGAAATATAGCCGTTGGAATATGTAACGACGGGATATAGCCGTTGGGGGGGGGGGGGCACACGTGGCGTGTGATGGCTGGCTGTCCGTGGGCGGCGTCACCGGTTGGGCGAAGACGCGGTGAGTAATGATGGCATCCATCCGGAGGCCCGGAACCCAGGCCCAAGCCCGGATTCCAGCGCCTATAAATACCCCAAGGCCAGGCATTCCTCTGTGTGCGAAAAACTTGTTAGCGAAGCTCTGCCAATTTTTCTAGAGAGAGAAACAGCAGCTTTCGGTTCAATCCTCCGTTCTTAAGGTCAGTTCTCCCCTTGCCCTTCAGCCTCTTAGCTACCTGTACTGTGCCCTTAGGTTAGGAGATAGAAAATTTAGAAAACACTAGTGTCCGCGAGCCTTCGAACCAGAGTCAGCATGTCGTCCCAGAGTGATTCCCAGGATATTTCGGGGGAGCCTTCGGTAGAGATGGTGACATGCTCAGATGTGGAGTCTTCGAGTGTGGAGTCCTCGGCAGCTGGTGATGCCGCAGTGGCTATGGAAGTGGAGAAGGACCTCCAGGCCGAAGTCGAAGCCGAGGGCTTCGAGCAAGAGAACGAGGATGAGGAGCTTGCCCTTGCCGTGCAAACCGCCGAGCAGGAAGAGGAGAGGGAGCGGCTGAAGGTGACGGTTGCCATTCCTCCCCCCCGGGGTGCCGGGGAAGCCAGCTCCTCCCGGCCATTGGACCCGACACCAATAAGTGTGGCTCCCGGGAAGAAAAACAAGACGAAGGCGGCCCCGAGGAAGAAGCAAGCGGCAGTAGATGCCGGGCGGCCGGTGGGCATACCCGAGGGCCATTCGTTTTTGAACACTGCTGCTCTAGAGCTGAAGACGAAGGCGTCCCCGGCAGAATACCAGTCCACCCAGATGCTGGTTGGGCCTTCAGCGCGCGTGGTGGAGCCCAGGGCGGATGATTTGCTGCGATACGCGCCCGAGGGGTGCTTTGCTGCTCACACCCTCTCGGTGGAAATGGGGCTCCGGTTCCCGCTCCATCCTTTCCTCTTGGAGTACCTGAGATTTGTGGGGTTGGCCCCTTGCCAGCTAACGCCCAACAGCCACTCCTATGTGGCCGGCTTCCTTTCCTTGTGTCAGAGCCGGGGGGTCGAGCCCACACTCGACCAATTCTTCATGTCCTTCAACCTGTGCCGGGGGGGACATTCAAATGCTGAGGGCTTTGCCAACCTTCAGCAGGTACCAGAGTTCCGGCTTTTCGATGATGTGCCCTCGTCTCACAAGGGGTGGAAGGAGAGGTTCTGTTATATCCGCCTCGAGGAGAATCCCTTCCCGGCCCAACTCCGTAATAGCTTCCGGCGCCACCCGAAGGTGGGGAGCGCAGCTTTGGAGAAGAACGGCAAAGTGCTTGCCAAGAAGCCGGAGGGGTCTGACAAGCATGTCAAGATCAGAGAAGTCACCCTTCCGGAGGATCTGCTTAACCTAGGCTTCCGGCAGTTCAGGCCGAGGGGCTCCTCGGATGAGAGATACCCTCCCCTCGATCGGGTCTTCGAAGGCGCCGGAGGTGATCACCGAAATGTTCACTGATGCGTTGATAGTTCTTTCGCATTCCGCCTGTTTTTTTTTTTTTTTTTTTTGACGTAGTGACTGGTAGCCTTCGATTTAACCCTTCTGTTTTTTTTTGTTGCTTGCAGGTAGCAATATGGACGTTGGTTCCCTCTTCGCTTTAAAAAACGCGAAAGGAAAGAAGAAGGCCCCGGCGGGCGCTCCTTCTAGGGAGGGGCCCTCTCACACTGTTGGCGCTGCTGCCGGCGCCGGAGGGTCCAAGGGTTCCGGCCCCGTAAAAAAGAAGGTTGCTGGAAAGGGGACCGAGCCCCCGGCCAAGAAGCCGAAGACCGCCGCCCCTTCCAAACAACCGATCACCGATGTGGTGGTGATTGTTGACGAAGGGCACGCTTCTGCCTCCACCCCCCAGGAACAAATCAATCAGGAGTTCTTTGGGCGGGAGAGGTTGGAGGCGATAGTGCCGAAGGGGGCCTCCGTGTTGGAGGGCAGTTTGAACCCTTCGGCTTTGATGAGCCAGATGCTGCCGTCGGCCGACCGGCTGGCCCTTGCCCGGCTAGACGAGGGACCCCTCGAGGCGAAGGTCCTCCTGAATGCCGCCTCCGTAAGTCCCCCTCTCTTCCCTGCTCATTGCTATGTTTTTCTTCCGTACTCTGTTCCTTATGCTTTATTTTTGCCTTCGTGATTTGCAAGCTTTCATGGGCCTCTGCGAGCACCTCCGAAGGGTGGATCAAATGAGGGAGGCCAAGGGTGCCGTCGAGGGGGAGGCTGCCCTCCTCAGGAAGAAACTCGCTGAAGCCGAGGACTCTCTACGGCTGGCCACCGACGGCATGGAGCAGAGGTTGCAGGCAGCAAGGGCCGAAGGGGTCAATGAGGGGCTAGCCAGGGCCGGGGAGGCCGCCGCTGAGGCCGCCCGTATCGCTGCCGATGAAGCCCGCGCGGCTAAAGAAGAGGCCGTCTCCAAGGCCCGAGAGGATGCGGTGGCCAGCTTCGTGGCCGAGGGGTGGAAGGCCGAAGACCGGAGGGAGTGGCTGGCTTCGGTGGTGGGGGCTTCAGTAGATGAGTGGGTCGGGGGCCCCGGGAAGATGTGGCTTGCTGAGAGGGGCGACTCGTACTACCAAGGCGGGGAGTTCTTCACCCAGCGCCTCATCTACCGGAAGCTTGCGAAGCACTTCCAGGTGGCACCGGAGGAGTTCCGTCCCGAGGCTTATGGCCTCCCCCCCCGCTAGCCAGATGTCAGGATCCCGCTCCCCGAGGGGGAAGAGAGACCGGTTCTTGAAGACTCGGAGACCCTCCGGGAGTGCGGCCTTGGTGGTGAAGAGGATGAAGCCGAGAGTGAGGCGATATCTACAGTTCCCCCCTCTTAAATTGTACTTCCCCC